TGCTGAGCCAGGGCAGCCTCAGGGCAGCCGTGTGGTAGAAGAGAATTTATGGGCAGAAAAAGGAAAGTGACGTATAGAAAGCGGAAATGAGGTACAGAAACAGCCAGATGGTTACAGCTCAGCATGTGTCTTATTTGAGCATAGTTCGAACAGTTGGCCACATTTGAGTGGCCAAAACTCAGTAATTGACATACGAGTAGATCACACTCTGTTTACATTTCCATTTAGCCTATAGTTCACAGTGTACAGAGAAACCTTTTGGCCAAACTTAGAACATGTAAGGAGGCAGCATTAGGTTAAACTCGATTTAACAAAAGTAGATCATGCACTCTTTCAATTCCAGACTCATTTTTTGATTATTTGGTATTGGTGTGTTATTGGCGAGGCATTCTCAAGGAATTTTTAGCAGGTCATTTGACTTTTCTGGGCTTCAGTGTCCTTGTATGCGAAATAAATATCTTGGTCTCTAATTCTAGATATGCTGACATCCCTCTAGCATTAAAGTTTGGAATCTATATATTCCCGGAAGGCAAGGATGGTGATTCTTCTTTCAGACCCCTCAACACCTAAACCAATGTTGGGTACAGAGCACGACCTGCAGAACTGATTCTGGTGCATGCAGAATCAATTCCAGATGCCTCCTTGGTCCTGTTTCTTCTTCTGTCTCTCCTTGGCCCATGCTCCACTCCAGCCAGACTGGTGTTCTTTGTACACCCCTAGAATTTTCCAGATTGTTCTGCCTTGAGGACTTGGTATTTGCTGTTTCTCATCATTCGATTCTCTCTCTGCCTGACCCATCTCTCCAGCCCATAACCTGCTTTGTTTTTTCATTCTTGTAATTGCTCTCTGAAATTGTCTTATTATTTAGTCATTTATTTGTTTATTCTCTCCACCTCTTCCCCAATCCCCAAATATAAGCTTCTATCTTGGATCTTTTTATATCGCTGCTGCTAAAACAGTACTTAGCACAATCTAGGCTCTGAAATAGATAACTGTAAAATAAATAATGAACTCTACCATACCTTATACAGTAGGTTTTACAGTCGTCACTCAGTATCCTCAGGAGATTGGTTCCAAGATCACCTGCGTATACCTGAATCTGCACATACTCAGGTCCCTAAACAGGTGCCACAGAACCCACATATAGGAAGAGCCGGCCTTTGCCCTCTGTATACTCACATTTCCCATCCCAGGGATACTGTATTTTCCATCTGCATTTGGTTGAAAAAAAATCCGTGTCTAAGGGCATCCATGCTGTTCAAACCCATATTGTTCAAGGTCAACTGTAGTTGGTGAGGTGAATTCTATGGCTATCACACACCAGGTTCTAGTGAACGCCCTTAGTTGAGAGTAACCCATACAAGCGAATTAACTGCCAGAGGTCTTCGTATACGTGGAGGGGGAAGAAATAAGTAATTCCCAGGAAGACAACTGTAGACGATTGTATCAGCTTATTTAGAAATCTTATCAGCATATCTTATTTGCTGTGGAAAATTTAGGTAACATTTTAAAATTAATTCATTTCTTTTTATTATGGAAAATGTCAAACATAAACACGAGCAGATGTGGTATGTAAGAACAGCATAAGGGACCCTCTTTGTACACTGTGGGGGATGCACTCCAGGGTGCCCCCTCACCCTAGTGTTCATGCCCTGTGTACTCCTCTCCCTTTGAGGGTGTGCAAAACATGCTTTCTTGTCAACAGAATGTGCCCATTTGAAGTTGCCCCTGTGGGATTGCTTTATGTTATATAAAATTCTGCCTTGCTGGAGGCTCACTCTGGGGACTCTCCTTGTGGGCCCCATGCAAAAAGTGGCTGTGCTTGGAAAGCCCAAGTGACAATGATGTCCAGGTAACCTCCAGGAATTGCAGGTTGCCTTCTTGGAGCTGAGGACAATCTCCAGTCTCTAGCCAGCAAGAAGCCAGGGCCCTTGGTCCTTCTGCTGCAAGTAAAGGAATTCTGCCTGTGCCCGGAGTGACAGTGGAAGCCAGTTCTTCTCCAGTGAATGTGAATGCAGCCTGGGCAGCCCCCTGATGGCAGGTGTGAGACTCTAAGTGGAGGACTGAGTGTACCTGGACACCTGATCCACAAAAACTGTGAGAAAAATCTGTCCTGTTTTAAGGCCACTAAGTTTGTGGTAGTTTGCAGCAATAAATAATTAAGTATACACCACCCAAGGTCAACTATTTTTAACAGTTTCCGATTGTTTCATTTACAACCCCACGTCTGGGGCTGGGAGGGTGGGAGGAGAGGAGTGAATGGGCTGGTGTGTTTTAAAGCACACTTCAGACTTTATATTATTTCACTGACAAATACTTTAGTACATATCTCTAAGAGATAACGAAGGACTTTTTAAAAGCCTAACCACAATGCCAAAAAAATTAGGTTTAATTGAGAACAAGAGTGGGAATCTTTTTAATGCCATCAAATCAGTGGATCTGTTACATTAATTGGACATCCACAGAAAAGGTGCTCGCAATAAATAGAATAATACCCCGTTGATCTCATTAGCTAAAGGAGAGGAAAGCGTATGAGAGCTTTCACTTGAAATGTCTGAAGCTTTCCAGTTGGTTTTTAAAAAATAGTCCAGCCACAAAGTACTTAATTGTCCCTGTAATATGCTTGGCTCTCATACATTATCTAAAATAATTCAAACCCAATTATGACCGTGTGCTTAAGATCCATTTTCCCTAGACCCTAACTTGCTTTGGAATGGACCCCTGTAAATTTCATTTTTATTCAAAACTCCTTGTAATCTAAGGTCATACTCTAATTTCTATTCCCACCACCTTTTCCTTACTACAGGAAGCTCCTCCCAACTGGCCTTCTTGGATAAGCCAATCTCATCTCCCTTCGACACTGCTCACTGAGGCACGCTTTGTAAGGGATATGCTAGGGATCTGGGTTCAATGCCATCTCTATCACTTGGGAGCTTTGTGATATTTGGCCAGTAGTTAAGCTTTCTCTAAGCTGGAGACAATAATGTCTCTCATGGTTCTGGGGGATATTAGACGAAGAATATGTGTAACGTGCAAAATGCCCGGTACAGAGAAGGCACCGTTCCCCCAAAACCCTCTTTGTTGGCTCCCATTTCTCACCACCAAGCCCCAGAACGCCCGGCACCACACCTCTCCCGCCCTTGTCGCGGGGGATGCTGGGACTCGTAGTTTCTAAAGCCGGAGCTGTGCTTCCTCTAGGCGCCGGCCGGCAGGAGGAAGAACTACACATCCCAGTGGGGTGTGAAAGGAAAGCAGGGCTCGGAAAACCGTGCGTTCCTGCCCAGCTGCCTTCGCTTTCCGCGGCCCCGGGGCTGCGCCCACCCCTGCGGGGGCTCGGACCCGCGACAAAGCCCGAGAGGCGCTAGCGAGCAGTCACCCCCGGCTCCGGCCGTCCCAGGGCCGCGCCGGCAGCTCCTCCTGGACTGATCGGCTGGGAAATAGGGAGGCGCGGGGGGGAGAGGAGAAGCGCGCGATTCCTCCGCTGCTTAGAGGGCTCCTCGGGGGAATGGAGGGAGAAATAAAACGAGCAGTTGTGATCATCTGTGGGGAGAAGTGGAGACCGAAAGGGCTGGGCGGCAGCAACCCAGAACCTACCCTGCAAGAGGCTTCTACTCCGGGAGGGAGGCCGGGGCCGGAGGGGACCCTGACCGCTTCCTCCGCCCTTCTCTCTCGGCCCGGAAGCCGGCCGAGCCGGGCCCCGAGACCCTCGCCCGCAGCCGGGTCCGGGAGTCAGGCCGGCCTCGGGCCGCCTCTCCCCATTCTGGCACCCGGCACCCCCCACCCCCTTCCTCGGGCATCAGCAGAGTCTCTCGGCGACTCCACCGCGCGCCCAGCGGGGGAGGAGGATGGGGGGCGCAGGCCGGGCAGGGTCACCTCTGCGCCGCGGCTCCTCAGGTCCCGGGGAGTCGCCAGGACCTGCTTGCCAGTGGCCGTGGGAATGAGCGTGTCCCGAGGCGGCAGCTGCTGCGGGGGATAAACCCGGGAGAAACCGCAAGAGAGACTGAAGTTGGTCAAAAGCGCACTGCGCGGCGCCCGACCCCATCCCTTCTCGGCCGATGCCACCGGGAGCCCCTGTGCCTGCCCCCGGGGCCGTGCCAGGCCCGGTCCGGCCCACAGCCCAGGGCGCCCGCCCGTGGAGACCCGGGCGGGGACCCAGCGGCGCCGGTGCCCGGGCTTCGCGGGAGAGGAGGAGGAGGAGGAGCAGGAGGAGGAGCTGCGGGTGAGGCGCGGCCACCGCCCACCCAGCCTGGAGTAGGCGGATCCACTCCGAGCGCCGCGCGCGCGCCGGGGCTGAGCCTTGCAAACAAGTGTCTGTGCGGTGTCCCCGCGGTCCTCCTCGCGCCGGGGCTGCTTCCTCTGGGCAGGAGGGAGCCAGGGAGCCCTCGCCGCGCGGCCCGCCCATCCCCACGCGGGGCCCGCGGACTCGACTCGGCTGCCAGGCGCAGCGACAGCAGGTCGCGGTGCGAGCGGCGCCAGAGCTCTCGCCGAGCCGCTCCTGACAGAAAAACGTGCGTGGCTGTCCCCACCCCTGGGAGGGGTTGCCGGTGCCGCGCGCGGCCGCCCAGTCGCCAGCGCTCTCTCCTGGGAGGATCCACCGCCGGAGGAAGGAGTGGACCCAACCTGGCCGCGGCTCAGAAGTGGCTCCGGAGGAAGCCGGCGCCGGGGCCGCCGCCTCGTGTCCCCTCGGGGTTTAACGCTCTGGGGTCGGCGGGCCAGAGCCGAGGCGCTGCCGGGGAGCTAGGGGCTAAGGGGCCGAGCGGGCGGCCGCGCGAGGGGGCGGGCGCTCGGCGACCCGGGGGCCGGCCGGGCTAAGCCCCGCTCCCCGGGACACGGGCTGGAAGCGACGGAGGAGCGCTGCCGAGGGCTGCCGGCCAGCGCCGTCCCCCCCGAGCGGCGCTTCTGCTATGACAGTTGGGCTCCCCGGAGGGTTAACCTGGGTGTCCTCGGCAAAGTTGTCGCCGAGCCGGGAGCCCGTGTAGGGGCCGCGGCGCCGCGGCTCGCGGGGCGGCCGGGCGGCCGGCGGCGGTCGTGGCTCGGCGGGGCCCGCGCGGCCGGGGGGCTCCTGGGGGTGTGCGCCCCCAGCCGGCTGCCCTCGTGGATGCCTCCCGGCGGCGGCGGGCCCATGAAAGACTGCGAGTACAGCCAGATCAGCACCCACAGCTCCTCCCCCATGGAGTCGCCCCACAAGAAGAAAATCGCGGCCCGGAGGAAATGGGAGGTGTTCCCGGGAAGAAACAAGTTCTTCTGCAACGGGAGGATCATGATGGCCCGGCAGACGGGCGTCTTCTACCTGACGCTCGTCCTCATCCTGGTCACTAGCGGACTCTTCTTCGCCTTCGAGTAAGTGGCGGCGACCGCTCCCCCGACGCCGCGCTCCCCTCGCCTCCCTTGTCCTCTGCCCCTCCCCAGGCTGCTTTCGTTTTCTAGAAGCTTTATCTACTGTAAATTGTTATATAATGCCAGCCCGCGCTCCGTCTTTTTTCTTTTAAAGGTCTGATTGCTTTGGGGGCCCCAAAGAGACCGCCATTCTGGGCCGGGCTTCTGGGAGCAGTGAGGGAAGGGGGCCACTTGGAAGGCCCCCCTCCACCCCTGCCTTGCTGCTCCAGGTAGCGGGTGGGACCCAGCAGGTGGGGCCACCGGTCCCTGATCCCTGGCATTCTCTCTACCGAGTTTGGGGACCCAGCAAATCAGCCCAGATGCAGCCTGGGGTGGGATGCGATCGATTTCTAAGTTGGGGATACACAGAACTGACTTTTTCCTCCCTTTCTGACAAGATATAGGGCATCTTCTTAAGCTCAGTTGACTAAATCTCCCATGCAGCTCCGACGAATAATTGAGGAATCTTGGTTATTTCAGGTTTCAAAGTGTTGGCCACTTAGTGTGCCCTGGATAGATCATTTCATCCTCTAGTCTCCTACATGTTCACTCTTGATGACAATTTCTGATTTGCCATGAGGTTTCTAAACTCTTCACTTTCAAAAAGATTGCAATAAAAAGTGTTCAAAACAATTTGGGAGCATGCGAAAGGAGACCTTACGTCTGTTAAGGAAGTGTATGACACTGCGTGACAACTTCTGATTCCAGAAACAGTCTGGCTTTTAGGGATTATATCTGGGGGAAAGAAAAGTACATGCAAGTCCTCACCGTTTTCAGGAAAATCAAATTGGCCAGTAGCAACTGTCCTCCTGCCAACTAATGAAAGGTCTTCTTATTTATTAACAGTGATTAGACAAAGCAGTTAAACCACATTCCAAATCAATTTCAGTTGCTCTTTTTGAGTCCAGCATTGAATGCAACTCCTTATGTAAGTCGCGGTATCCTATGCTCAATGAAAGGTGGAATTACTTTTTCCCCCCAGAATTTAAAAAAAGCAATATATTTATAGGGAGTTCTTCTCTGGGCTTCCTATATCCTGGTTATTATTGAGCATGATACTCCTTCAGTCTCCACCTCCTCCTGTTGGGTAGGCTTAATTAAAACCTTTCGAATTTATTTACTTTTGTTTCTGATTAGTATTAATAGTCTCTAATTTCGTGCCTGGATTTTGCCCTTCCAAATGCTGTCTCAACTGGAAATAAATGATCTCTTGACAATGTAATACTTGTCACTCAAAGCCCTTTGACTCTAAGGAGAAACGTTTTGTGTCTGAACCCTGTGCTCTGAGAACAGGCAATGAGGAAGATCTCAGATTTAGGTGAATTCCCCCCTTCCCAGCCCTTCTCTCACACAACTCCTTTCCTCCATTTCTAATGGTGTGTGCAGTTCCTGGGTGCCTTCTTGATGTTTAGGTTTTGTGTCTGTTGGACACTAGTAGGTAGATTCAGTGGAGGGACCTGTGGACCGGAGGGAAAGCATGTGCACAGGCATTGAGAGTGGCAGGGAGACACACTCAGGCTGCTGTCGCTCCCATGGGCCCTCATTGAGAGCAGGCTTTTATCCTTCCAGACCCTGGAAACTGGAAGAAGGGGCACAGAGGTTGCCCATGAGTTTACGTTATGGGTTAGGATCAACACTGGCACTGGAACGATGATGCCATGTGGTTTAACAGAAATGCTGTCTCTCTAATGGTGGATTCGTTACAGGTGGTCCTCTAGTTGCAGAGTATTAACAGTGTTCCTAATGTTAAAAAAAAAAAAAATCTCAAACAGATCCAAATCGGCACTTTTGCTCTTTTTAGTGATTTTAACTGTGGAGAACATGGGTTAATTTTGTGATTCTGTTGCAGAGCTTCAGCCACAGGTGTGCTTCGTGGAAGATGATGAATATTTCATATTCAGTATATACCTAAATCCGCACTGTACGGCTAGGGATTCCCCCAGTTATTACTTAACATCTTTTATTTCTACATTCAAACGTAGCTTCTAACCAAACCATCATGAATTCATTTTCATTTCTTGATCTTGGCATGCGTTTTTCCAAGAGTTCCCGAAAGTCCTCAACTGGCAGGTTGTTAGGGATCTTCCTCTGCGTCAGTGTTGTGTTAACTGGTGACTGTAGGAGTAAACGTGTGCACTGGGATTTTATTAGCTACTATTTGCAGCATCTCTTTTATGTCAGCTCTGTGGGAGTGTATGCGTGTATATGTGTGTGTGTTTGGTCTCCATGGGTGTTGCTTCAACTAGGCAGTTTGACATTTCAAGAAAACAAGAGGCCCATCCTGTTGCCTCTGTTCAGAAAAATCAGAGGCTGTTCAAGCTCTAGAATATTATGGTTTAGCTGAGAATATTTGTTACTGCATTGTTTTCAAGTTCTTTATTCATAAATTAAATAACCAAATTGACCAAATTAATTTGCTAGAGACCAAAGAACCAGTTAACCCCATACAGAGGAACAAAATACCAACAGGACAATCCTAAGCAAGATCCAGAGGAAATGCCAGTACTGCCTGCCCCTGGCCTGCCTTTCTCCTGCCTTCCTCTAGTTACTTATGAGACACATACCATGTGGTGTCCCCTATTTTGATTGTTTAATTTCATGTCTAGATAGCTTTTTAAAACATTTTTATTTATTATTTTTTATAGAGATGGAGTCTGCTTATGTTCCCAGGCTGGTCTTGAACTTCTGGCTTCAAGTGATCCTCCCGCCTTGGCCTCCCGAAGTGCTGGGATTATAGGTGTGAGCCACCACACCTGGCCATCATGTCTAGATAGCTTTTTATTGGAAACAGAGTCTCACTCTGTTGCCCAGGCTGGAGTGCAGGGGCACAATCGCGGCTTGCTGTATCCTCGACCTTCTGGGCTCAAGTGATCTTACCATCTCAGTCTCCTTGGTAACTGGAACTGCAGGCGTGCACCACCACACCCGGCCAAGCTTTGTATTTTTTAATAGAGACATAGGGGTCTCACCGTGTTGCTCAGGCTGGTCTTGAACTCCTGGACTTAAGTGATCCTCCCGCTTTGGCCTCCCGAAGGGCTAGGATTATAGGTGTGAGCCACTGCGTCTGGCCATCATGTCTAGATAGCTTTTTATTAGAGACAGAATCTCACTCTGTTGTCCAGGCTATAGTGCAGTGGTACAATCATGGCTCATTGTAGCCTCAACCGCCCAGACTCAAGCGATTCTCCCATCTCAGCCTCCTTAGTAACTGGCAGGCGTGCACTACCTTGTCTAAGTTTTGTATTTTTTGTAGAGACGTGGTGGTGTTACTGTGTTGCTTAGGCTGGTCTCAAACTCCTGAGCTCAAGTGATCCTCCTGCCTTGGCCTCCCAAAGTGCTGAAATTATAGGTGTGAGTCACCGCACCTGGCTGTCATGTCTAGATAGCTTTTAATGTTAGTAAAATTCATTGTCAAACATTAGAATTGTGTTTTCCCAGGTACACAAAAGCAAATAAAATGTGTGACAAGAAAAATGAATAACTTAGTCACTTAGTTTGAGTCTTCCCTCGTCTGCAGTTCTTCTCTCATCCCAGCTCTCATTTCTGACCTTGAACAGATGGACAACAAAGTTTGTCCAAGAGAAATGAACTTACTGGAGCTCAGCAGCAGGTGTTGATACAGCCTTCAACCCTTGGAGAAAGGCAGGGTGGAAATGAATTATTCCCACATCAAAGATGAAGTGACAGAGGCTTGGTGAGGTTAAATAGTCACCTCCCGTCGCGCAGCTGATTTGTGGGAAGGCTTCTGGCTGCAAAGCCAGTGCTCTTTATGTCTGACCGTGCTGCTCCTGCTTCACGGTTAAAAGCATGGATTTTGGAAGGACAGACCCTAAGATTGTTACTAGCACTATAAACCCAGGTAAATGGTTTGTCTTTTTTAAGCCTTAGTTTCCTAATCTGCAAACTGAGATTAATAATAATCTACATTTAAATGATGGGAAGATTAAATGGGAAAAATATGTTCTGCACAGTATACAGTATAATATGTATACAGTACAGTATATGATATACTGTGTACCAGTGTCTGGTACATAGCAAGTACTCAATAAATGGTACATGTTATTAGAGTAAACCTTAGAAGTAGCCCCCCAAAGACTCTGGTCACCTTTCTGAGAGCATTTTGAAGAAGGGAACATGTAGGTTAATAAGCAGCTGTGACTGTGAAAAAACTCAGAACTGTTTAGTCTGCTGTTAAAGACTTGGCCAGGTGCAGTGCTCACGCCTTTAATCCTACCACTTTGGGAGGCTGAGGTAGGAGGATCCCTGGAACCCAAGAGTTTGAGACCAGCTGGGCAACATAGAGAGACCCCATCTCTAAGTTTTATTTAAATAAGAGTTAAAATATAAAAATAAAATAAACACCTTTATTTGAGTCCAAGGAGCCTCTGTGAAGCTATGGTTTTGCTGTTACCCCTTTAGAATGGGAGTCTTTCAGGGATGTCTGGGGACCTGTTCTTTTTTTTTTTTTTTTTTTTTTTTTGAGACAGAGTCCTCCTCTGTAGCCCAGGCTGGAGTGCAGTGACACGATCTTGGCTCACTGCAACTTCTGCCTCCTGGGTTCAAGCAATTCTCCTGCCTCAGCCTTCCAAGTAGCTGGGACTACAGGCATGTGCCACCACACCTGGCTAATTTTTGTATTTTTACCAGAGATGGGGTTTTACAGTGTTAGCCAGGATGGTCTCGATCTCCTGACCTCTTGATCCACCCTCCTCAGCCTCCCAAAGTGCTGGGATTACAGGCCTGAGCCACCGTGCCCAGCTGGAGACCTATTCTTATCCAGACTGGATTTCATATTAGTTTTTGAAGACACCATCCGAGAACAATGAAGACAGTACAGAAAGCTACTAGAAGCAAGCAGATGCAGTACTGTACTCTTTCTCAAGCAGGGAAGGACTGCTTATCTGTTGGCATCTTTGTGCACCGTATGGAGTACTGATGAAAAGTGGCAGCATTTCATAGCTTAG